AAGACATATGGGAGTACCTGTGAAATTGACCTTATTTGTAAATAGGGTCTTTGCAGATGTAATCAGGATGAAGTCAGACTTGATTAGGGTGGGCCCTATTTCAATATGACTGGTGTCCTTATAAGGAGAGAGAAATTTGGAAATAGAGACACACATACAAAGAAGACAGAGGCAGTAATGTAGCTACAAGCTAAGGGGCAGCAAAGATTGCTGGCAACCATCAGAAGTTAGGATGAGGAAAAAAGGATTCTTCCCTGCAGATTTTTGTGAGAGTGTAGACCTTCTGACACCTTGATTTAGGATTACTAGCTTCCATAACTGTGAGAGAATAAATTTCTGTTGTGTTAAGCTCCTAAATTTGTGATAATTTGTTACACAGCCCTAGGAAACTTATACAATTGTGTATTGATCATTTACTATGTTCCAGATTCACTGGTGATGACATTAAATGAAACAGGAATTCAGTACCTAACTGGTTCAGTCTGTTGGATCTGGCTTAGTTATAACTCTGTTCTAGAAAAAGTACTTATTAACCAAGTAATGGTTTGAACAAATTCTAGCTCTGCTCCCTTAAAATGCTGTGTGACCTTGGAGAAGTTGCTTTCCCTCTCTGGGCTGATCTTTCCCCTTTTCTGTGAAATCAAGGAGTTGGCCCAGATACTTCTGAAGGGGTACTTTAACCTTAAAGTTCTATGACTTGCTGGAGAGAGGACAGGTGGGAAGGGGCAGAGACAACATACTTCCATACTCCACCTCACCTCTTCCTTTATGGGTCTCTTGCACGCTGGCCCATTCATTAGTCTCCTGCCCTAATCACCCCAGTGCCAGGTACTAGACAACTAGGGACAGCCCCTCTGTCCCAAACCAAGCGATGCTAAATCTGTAAACCCACCTTCTCCAATCCTTTCTGAAGAAACCAAAATAAAGGCTCCTACCCATGTTTTCCCCTGCTCCCTGTGCCTTGTGACCAACCCCACCCAGTGCCTCCTCCCATGTGCTCCCTCTTCCCCATTGTGTGGTGTCCCTCCTCCTTTACCACTTCCCATCTCTATCTTTTTCTCCCTCCCAGGATTGGCTACATAATTTGTGAGACCCAGTACAGAATAAAAATGTGCCCCACCCCCACCCCTGCCCCCAGCGAAAAATTATTAAGCATTTCAATATGGCAACCAGAGAGCATTAAATCACGTGTGTGGCCCTTCTCAACGCAGGCCCCTGTGTGACAGACTGCACAAGCCACACACTCCTTCCTCCTTCCTATCTTCCTCTAGGTTTTCTTCCACTTCTCAGACCTTTCTAGTCTGATTTTCCAATCCCCAGACCCCTTTTTTGGCTCTCTATTAATGGGTTCAAATTTTTAGATACTATAAAGATTTGATAATTCCACTTCATTGGGGAGGGAGGAAAGGAGACCAATTTGAATTAATGAAAATTTGAGAAATGACACATTACTAAAAAATATAGTTTTATTATTCCCAGATTTATATGGTGACAGTGATGACATAGGAGAAAAGGAAAGGAAGTTAGAGCTTTTTTAAATGTGATTTAACGGAGAAAAGATTTAACATATAATAAGCATATTCTTTATTTGCAAATGGTGCTACTAAAAACCCTCTCCCTTAAGTAGGTTAATATTTCTCTTGTTGGCAATCACTTTGCCAGGTGAAACCTTTTTGCTGCTACAGATGCTGGTAAAATTCTTCTGCAGTGACTCTATACAACAAAATGATTTCCCTGACCTTGCAGGCAATCTTGGGCATAGATCAGGCACTAGAAAATCTTGTCAAAGGGAAATCCAGTACAACAAATTCTCTCTGCTCCCAGCCCACAGAATAGCCCATCTTTAGAGCATCCTTCTGAAATGCCGAGCTCATCGAATGCCATAGCACACTACTCCTGGACTGAATAGTCACTGTCTCCTACTGTTTCAGACATAACTCATGTCTGGTCACAAGTGGATCCAGATCTATTTTGAGTTGGCATCCCCAAACAGTGCACATACCCCACATCTCCAAGACTTAGCAACCTGGGCCTGGAATGCTCTCCCTTTAATCTGCACAGTCTGTCAAAATCCTAACTCATATCTCAAGATCCAGGACGTGGCCTCTGATACGTCCAGGCAGAATCTGTCCCTCCACGGCATATCTATGACAGCATTTGAATTCCTGCTTAAAGGTTGTCTATGTGCCTCTTTGAGAGAGAAAGAGAGTAGCCTTGAGCCCTATCTCTGGTGAGGCAGAGACTCAACTATCTCTGGTGAGGCAGTGCAGCCCAGGAATTAAGTTGCAGAAGGGGCTCCACTAGTAGCCAGATGCACACAGATGGTAAACTAGCTAGCTTCGCAACACTATAAGGATTCAATCAGATGATAACCATAAAGTGCTTAGCACAGAGTCTGGGGGAAAAAACAAGCTCAAAATATTAACAGTTCTCCCTGAACACTGGTGTGGACCAATGAGGTCACAGGATAGCCAGCCATATATCCCAATTTGGTTGAATGGTCCTGGTATAATAGATATATTATATCTATATAATAAAAGCCTAAGAAACTGTTATCATCAATCAACTGCTTGACTAGTTGATGTGATGTGCATAGACCACCAGAGGGCAGGCGCTCAATGCAGGAGCTGCCCCCTGGTGGTCAATGCCCTCCTACAGTGGAGCACCACTCAGCCAGAAGCCAAGCTCATGGCAGGCAAGTGCAGCTGTGGCAGTGGGAGCTTCTCCCACCTCTGCAGCAGCACTACTGAGCAGCAGCAATGGCAGGGGAAGAGGCCAGGATGAGCAGGAGTGGGGCAGCTGCTTTGAGCACTACTACAGCCCTTGGAGAATGTCGAACTGCCCGCCCTCTGTGGGCATTGGGCTGAAACGGGCAGACCAACACCCTCCGAGGTCGTCCTGGATTGCAAGAAGGAGCAGGCCAGGCTGAGGGATCCCACCAGTGCATCAATCCATGCACCGGACCTCTAGTTATTAATAATGCCCTTTCTTATTCTTGACAGTGTCTCAGTTTGGATGACAAATTATATGGTCATCTAGACAGTTGGGAGGAGGTCTATTTTATTTACCCATGTCCCTGGCACGTCAAACAGTGCTTAGCATATATTAAGTACTTAATAAAATTTACCACATGAATGAATGTGTCTTTGGTAGATATGTCATAGCTGCCAGATATGGCCAATATCTCTGTATTTCTAAGCACCTCTTAACTCAGAGAAGGCACAAACCAAGGTTTGATGAATGAATAAATGGATGAGTCCCCCATAACCCCAATCCACACCATCTCCTCTGCTGCCAATAGTGTCTCTGGGGGAAGAAATGACATCTCACAGAGGTAGGAGAAGAGAGGGTCAGATGGATGAGGTGACAATGATGCTCCTCCCAGGGAACTGCATGGGGAGGGGGTCTTTTCCTGGAGCCACAGCAGAGCCTTGTCTTCATTTCCCAAATAGAAATTAGAGATTGGTTTCCCCATTGAAGCAGCAGGAAGCCACAGCTTAAGTTAGCCTGACCAGTGGGCCAGCAGGCTCTTGAGTCTGCTGGAACCCTTGCCTCCACCCCTCCATATACTAGTAGAGCACAGGTGCGCAGGATTTCAACAGGCATTGCCTGCCTCCCAGCAGCCACTGAGCCACAGGGGTGAACCCACATAAATCTAGAAGCCAGAAGCAGAAGAAAAAGGATGGGAAAGATTTATTTCCCTTCCAGGCCCAGAAAGGAAATTCACATGTTGTAGCCAAAAATTTTTGGACGCAGACCATGCACTAGGCATGAATGGTAAGAACTTAGAGAACATTAACTCAGCTATCAGAACATTAATTCAACTCTCTGAGGTAGCTACCCTCACTTTACACATGGAGAAAGTGAATCAGAGAGGGGAAATGACTCGTCAGAGGTCACAGAGATAGTAAGAGACAGAGTGTCCTCAGAGCCATATCCCCAGGTGTAGGAACCAAACAGAAGTCTTCTCCATCACTCCCAACCCATTATAATGAGAAAGCCCAGTTCTTGCTCCTCTCGGGCTGGCTGTGTGACCTTGACTCTGGCGAACTCTCTCTGAGCCTCATTTCCCTTTTCCAAGGCTAATGATGTTCTAGGAGGCCAAGGCACCCCCAAAGGCCAGGGAATCCCTTCCTCCTGAGACTACAGGAGGCTTCAGGGTGACCAAGCCCCGAGTGAGTCCAGATGTCCAGGAACATATCAAATCCATCATGGGGCCTGGGGCTGGATACCAGCCTGAGCCCACTTTCTGAAGGAGCCTTTAAAGCAGAGCTGAAAATTTAAGCTGCGGATCTGAGAGCCAAAGGGAGTGTGGGGCTTCAGAGCTTTGTGCCACTAGGTGAGGGACTCCCCCAAGAACAACCCTCCCCCACCTGCATTGTGATTAGAGAAGAGCTATGGGCAGGGTGAAGGGCTTAAGGAAAAGACCAAGCTGAAGATGTGGAGAGCACCGGGTAGAGGGTACACCAGCACACATTTGGGACTCGGGGAAGACACCTTTGGAGAGAGAAGCCCCCAACCCAGGGTCACAGTCCACAGCTCTAGTCATGTTCCTGACCTGCATGAATCAGGGCCTGGATAAAGGGGGGTAGGGGGCGCAATACTGGGGAGAGACCAGGCAGAGAAGTCAAGCCGACTGGGAAAGAGAAAATTAGGAGGGTTCTAGCACCCTGGATGCCCCCCAGTTCAAGGCTGCTCCTAGCCAGAAAGTTTGCGCGCTGAGCGTCCCCTCCCAGCGTTTACAGGCGCCGGGTCCGCAGGCGCCCGCGCCGGGTCCGCAGGCGCCCACCCCGGCCCGCGTCATCCGCCGCCTGGTGCCCGCTCAAGGTCACTGCTGACAAGGCGCCTGCCTGACTGCGCGGGGCAAGGGGGACCCAGGACGCGCACCGGCGTAGGCTGGAGCTCTGGCCCTCAGGGATTCCCGGGGCTGAGGACCTAGGGAAAGGAAGCCGGGGAGCGGGGAGGAGGCCCAGAGTTCGGACCTGACGCCCCTGCCTCACCTGCGCCGGCTCCGCGAGCGAGATGCTGCCGCTGCCGCCGCCACTGGTGCGCGCCCGGCCCGGCCCGGCCCCGCTGCGGCTGCGATCCTCCGCCGCCGCGGCTGCCCGCGCTCGCCTCTCCGCGGCCCCTCCGCCGCCCGCCTGCCTTCCTCCCTCCTCCGCCGCCGCTGCCGCCGCTGCACTGCGCTCCGCCCGCCTCCCTCCCCTCCCCGCTCCCTCCTCCCTGCGCACTACCCCTTTGCCCTCCCCAAACTCTGCATGGAGAGCGCCCTACAGAACTGGAGTGCGTTGTCCAGCCCGCTCCCTCCACTAACGTACTTGCGGGGCTGCAGGCAGAGGGGAGGGATCTCTGGCCTCTCCTGGGTTTCTTCTCCAGGAACCTCTACGGGAACCTGCCTCTTATCCCACTCCAACCCCCTTCCCAATCAGCCCTGCCCTTGGAAACACCTCCCCCCACTTTTTCCCCTGGTTCAAGGTGCCCCAGCCCCATCCACCCAACACAACTGGAACCCCTGTGGCTATGGTCACACAGTATGGGGTGAATTGAGGTGTGGAGCCGGGATATGGGAAGACATAGCTTTGGTGGACTGATACTGAGAAAGGATGGGGGTAGGGCAGGGGTACCTGTTGGCTCCTGGCCTCTGGCCTCTAACCTGGCTTACAGCCTAGGGCCTGGAGAAGCCCAGGACAGAGTCTCAGCCTGAGAAGAAAAGCAAAAAGCCCAGGTACAAACGTAAGCACCTCCCCAAAGCAGGTCTCCCCTCCTTGGCACAGGTCCCAGGTCGCTGAAAAGCCTTGCTCCACCAGGAAGCCGGGCCATCTGACTCCCAGCGCCTTGGTCTGCTCCATGCTATCAATTAATCATGCCTGCTTTATTTATTTATTGGCTTTATAAAAAGCCAAATGCACTGCTCTGCTGGCAGGAGGAGAAGAAGAAGGGCCTCCATGGAGGGGGGGGGGGTGGGCAGGAGGGGTTGATGATGGGAATCCCCCTTCCCAGGCCTTGGTTTGGTGAATGAGGAGCCTGGGGGAACACTGGGCTCTGGGTGTCTGGATCACCTGCCTCTTTGAAATGACTGGGATCTTGCCAGTATTCATGAAGCCAAAATTCATCATGGCCTGTGCTCTGCAACTCTGGGATGGGGCAGAGGATATTCACTCTTGGGGGCTTATGCTTAGAAAAAAGAGGGGGAGCCTGGAGGTCAGTGATCAGAAGGACATCCAACAGGTGTGAGAGGAAGTATCTCCAGGCTCTTCTTGGCTCAGAGCACTCCATTCTCACTGCTCCACACCTGGCTTGGCAGGTGACTCTGCAACTCCTGCTGTGGCCCTGTCCTCTCTCCTAGGTGCCCAGAGGACATCTCTCTATGGATGCTCCACCCACCCACATGTCTTCCCACCTCCCCCATCCCAGCTAATGACACTGCAGTGCCTCCAGATGGCCAGCTCCAGGCACTCCCATCACCAAGTTCTTACTGATGTCCCCTCTGGCCCACAGTCCCCTGCCCTCTGTTGAAGGGCTCTTCTCCAGGCATCTAACACCTCTCTCCTGGCTTCTCAGTGTCATCCTCTCTACTTCATCCCACTGCCACACTAGCCTTCATAAAGCCAGAAGCATATCATGTCCCCTCCTGTTCTAAAACCTTTCATAGCTCCCTACTACCCTCAGAAGTATAATACTATAGTTTCAGGGCCTTTCATGCTCTTGCCCCTTTCCCATCTTAGTTCACAATGCCTCTTTTGGATATACATTTATCACTCTACCATGTTTGTCTCTCATCTGTTCCTTGGATGAAAATCCTTTTCTCCCTCTTTCAGTCAGTCTCAGCCCAGTCATGGTGCCAAGGTTTAGCTTTAGTTACTACCACATTTCCCCCAAAATAAGACAGTGTCTTATATTAATTTTTCTCCCAAAGTTACGCTAGATCTTATTTTCAGGGGATGTCTTATCTTTCCATGTGCTAGGTCTTATTTTCGGGGTAACACAGTATCTCTTTTATGAAACCTTCAGAAACCAGCAGGCAAGTTGAAAAGGCAAAAAGAATGTGTGTGAAAAGTTGTAAAACATGAGACAACACAGTGCAAAAATGAATGACACACAAAAGTCACAGTGACAAAACTCATCAGCTATGTGACCTTAGACATGCCCTTGGTCTCTCTGAACCTATCAGTTCATCTGGTAAAAGGGTGAAAAATTCTATAGCCTCCTTGAGGATAAGCACTCAACAAATAGCTCTAGTTACTCTTGAGCACCTACTGTGTGCTAAGGTTCTAGGACTTGCAAAGATGATCTGGTAAGGTCTGCAAACTCAAATGCCTATAAGTACCTGGCAATACTGAGGAGGGCTGGAATAACTGATGGCTTTCTTCCCTGGAATCTACCAATAAGAAAAAGCAATAATGTATGTGAGGTGACAAATAGCAGCTGACACTGGCTCGGTTTGGGAAGGTGATAAGGTGCGGTGGGGACTGTGACATTGACCCTGTTATAGCAACTACTTAGGTCCACTTTAATGTGGCCAAGAAGGGATAACAGCCTAGCTTGCCAGTGTCCGTCCTTCCTTCCTTCCTTCCTTCCTTCCTTCCTTCCTTCCTTCCTTTTTCAAGAGAAGCCTGACATCTAAATTTTATGTGAATATTCTTAATCTTTAAATGTTATCAACTAATTTTTAAAAATTTAGAGCTCTGAGAGGACCAAACAATATAGCTCTGGTAGATCTCTGGCCAGCAGGTTGGCAGCTTATGACCTTTGGGTTAGAAGGAGAAAATCAATGTTATCTATTTACACACACACACACACACACCCCCTTCTCTCTCTGGCAGAATGTGGTCAGAAACACAAAGGATCATGGGAATGAAGTGGAAGTAGTACTTCAGTATACTGATAGAAGTGTGTGTGTGTGTGTGTGTGTGTTTGTGTTTGTGTGTGTGTGTGTGGTGTGTATGTGATGGGGTGGGGGGTGGGGATGGGGAGGTGGAATCAGCTGAGGCATTGGGATCAGAACCAGAGTGGAAGGCCAACTGCTACACATGGGAACTTAGACAAGCTACCTGTCCACCATGAGTCTCAGTTTCCTCATCTGATAATGGGCAGGGGAGGGTGAGGAATTACTCAGATGTGGTCAAGTTTATGTGAGGTGATGGGGGTGTGAAGTGAGGACACTGATCATTCAGAAGCACACTTGGGAGTGAGGGAGCTGGAACAACCTGGACATACAGGAGAAGTCCCACTCCACTAAAAACAGGGCCCTCATGAACTTGAAGACTTATTAAAAGATGTAACTGGCAGCAAATTATGAGGGGAAACAGCCTCTTTCCTCTGGGGGAAGAGAAAGAACATATGAGGAAGTGACTGGCCAGCTAGTGAGCATGTCATCTCTGAGTTCATAAGAAGAGAAAGAAGCATGGGTCCCTGCTGGCCTGTTAGAGGGGCAGGGGTCCGAAATGGCCAACAGCAAAACTGGGAATGATGGTGTCAGCTCAGGGCCTGTGAAGGTCCCTCAAAAGTATTTTTGATGGCATGGGAATAAAGCTGACTTTACTTTCCAATTCTCTACAATGACCATGTTTTACTATTTAGTCAGTCAAAGTCATTAAATGCATACACTCAAAAAGATCATCCTACATCAAAATCAATCAATGAGCAAGGTGTTCATCAGATGGAAGCCACCTTGAAAACAATATTCCTAAACTATATTACCTCATACCTGGAGAACATGTTAGCAGAATCTGTAAAGAGATTCCTGAGGCTGACTCATCTCCAGAGATGGAATCTCCAAAGAGAGGAGGTTGGAATGTGTATTTGATACCTATTCCACCCATCCCCATCCAATGATCTAGAAAGTTGGGATGACTCTGAGCTGAGTAGGGAATAAAGGAAAGAACAAGCCAGATGCCTTCCAGTGAGGGACTCTCAATGCAGCCAGGAAAACCCAACTCTCCCAAAACAAGGCAGCCAGACACACTTGAGACCAAAAGTGCAACCAGTGGAGACTTAACGGGGATTTTTCCTCAGGGGAGGATGCATGCAGAGAGCAGAACAGTCTACCTATATATACTAGTATATTTCAGGCCCTGTTAGACTCTTACACAATAACAATGCTACCATGCTTAACTTGTGCAGTTTTAAAATTTAAATGAGAAGGAAAAATACCAAGTGCTGAGGCAGCACAGGGGAGGAACAATTAATCCTCTAAGTGAGGAAGACTTCAGGGGTGGAATTTTAGCTTCGTTTTGAAGCAAGTGTACAAATAATAGGTACAAGAGCTAAACTCTATAAGTGTTGATGACTTGTCTTAGTATTTTTAAAAAAGATTTTAATTGATCTCTAGAGAGAAAGGAACAAAGAGGAGAGAGGAGAGAGGAGAGAGGAGAGAGGAGAGAGGAGAGAGAGAGGAGAGAGAGAGAAAGGAGAGAGAGAAAGAGAGAGAGAGAGAGAGAGAGAGAGAGAGAGAGAGAGAGAGAGAGAGAGAGAGATATTTCAGAGTGGAACATTCATCAGCTGCCTCCTACACGCCGAGATTGAGCCCACAACCCGCACATGTGCCCTGACAGTGAATTGAACCAGCAACCTTTTGGTGCACAGGACATTGCCCAACCACCTGAGCCACATCAGCCAGGGATATTCTTAGTATTTTAAATATGCTGATTTCATCCTCCCAACATTTCTATAAGGCAGGTGTTTATTAGCAGATGCTACTGATGCCCCCCCTGCCCTCTACCTGGCAGGTACACCCAACTTCTGACTCCGTGAGTATGGCTTCTCCCACCTGCCCCTCTCTGCAGATATTGTCTTTGGTTGGTGGGAACCCCTAAGTAGCAATAACCTCTATGGAGCAACTCATCCTCCAGCTCCCCTGGGATCAGGCTGAGGGTGGACTTCTTCAGAAACCACATCTTTCTTGAGTTCCTTCTCCCTCTTTCTCCTATAGATTTCTCCAGAGAGTACTCCCTCAATTAAATTCCATGAACCAGAATGCCCATTTCAGGCTCTATTTCTGGGGAATCAGACCTCAGGTCATTTTGTGGTTGAGCAAATGAAGGCATGAACAGTGAAGACACTGATGGAGAGAGGAACCGCAAGCCAGCTACTGTTTCTCCACCCCTAGGAAGATGCCTCAAGAGGAGGAGGAAGCAGGAGCAAGGGCATTTCAGGG